AGACCCTAAATGAAAGGCAACCCTATATTTCTCCAATTCCCAAAAAAGAATGCTTTCGATTTTTTTTTATTGTGCTGAAATTTATATAACAAAATTTACCATCTTAACTATTTTAAGTGTACAGTTCAGGGGTTAAATATATTAATAATGTTTTGTAGCCATTACCACCATCTATCTCCATAACTTTTTGTCTTGTGAAACTTTATACCCATTAAACAGTAACTCCCCATTCTTCATTTCCTCTTCCCCCAACCCTGGCAACCAATTCACTTTTTGTCTCTTTGATTTTGACTATTCTAATGTCTCAAATACGTGGAATCATACAGCATTTATCTTTTTATGACTGGCTCATTTCACTTAGCATAATGTCCTCAAGCTTCATCCATGTTGTAGCATATGTCAGAATTTCCTTCCTTTTAAGGCTGCGTGATATTCCACTGTGTGTATATATGGCACGTTTTATTTATCCATTCATCTGTCGATGGACACTTGGGTTGCTTCCATATTTTAGCTATTGTGAATAATGCTGCTATGAAAATGGATAAATAATATCTCTTTGAGACCCTACTTTAAATTCTTTTGGGTATGTATTTCCAGAAGTCAACTTATTGGATCATGTGGTAATTCAATTTTTAATTTTTTGAGGAACTGTCACACTGTTTTCCAAGTGGTTGTACCATTTTACATTCCCCCCAATAGTGCACAGTGGTTCCAGTTTCTCTACATCCTCACCTATACTTGTTATTTTTTGTTTTTTTTTGATAGTAGCCATTTTAATGAGTGTAAGGTGATACTAAAAAAAGCTTTTTGGCTAAGATAAGTGTAAATTTCTAGAGACTAAGTGAAATTGATCAGGTGAGTCTTTTTGGGTAATATTTATTGGTTTAACATTAAATCGCAATGTTATATATTAATGCTTTTTCTACTCATATTTTATGAAATAATTTTACTCAATTTTTTTCGTTTACATCTTAAATATGTCTTTGCCAGCTGTCTGAAAAAGCTATAGGCCGGGCGTGGTGGCTCACACCTGTAATCTTATAGCTCTGGGAGGCTGAGCCAGGAGGATTGCTTGAGCCCCAGAGTTTGAGGTTGCAGTGAACTATGATGACACCACTACACTCTACCTAGGATGACAGTGAGACTCTGTTTCCAAAAAAAGAGAAAAAGGAAACTGAACCCCCTCTTCACTCTTCCCCTTAATAATAAAAAAAGTATTAATGAAAAAGCTATAGCTATTCTGTCATGGCCAGTTTTTTGGAGCATGTTATTTTCACTTCTCCTTACATTATGTGAAATATAACCCTTTTAAAATCTGTATATGATGCTTTTACTGGAAATTTTACCTTAAGTCTATTTGTCCAAGGTAGCCATTTGCTGTTTATTTCCACAGTGTAAGCATATTCCTTCATAAATTAAATTTAAAACATAAATATGTGCACTTAGTACAAAATTCAAAAGATATAGAAGGGTTGCCAGTGGTTTTGGCCAAGACCTGGCCCCTCTCCCCCTGATGTGTTAGCTCCTGATCAATGTCAGTTAATTAGACATTGATCACATGCAAGCAAACATGATGCTAGGTGCTGGGTATTCCAAGACAGGAAAACCAATCCTTATGTGTAAGAACCTACTCTTTGCGGGGGCGAGGTGTGTGCGTGTTGGGTGAGGGGTAGTCAGAAAGTAAACTAGCATTTACGGCTTAGTAGTATATCCATGGATGTAATAGTAGAACAGTATCACAGAGAGTGGGGAGGTAATTTAGCACAGAAATTGACAAAGTAACATTCTGGTGATTTCAGCATGCATGAACTAGATGAGGGGGAGATGAGGAGGATAAGGGAATTCCAAGCATGTAATTTAGTCTGACTAGTAAATTGTATAGGATGGGAAAGAGGAAAGGCAAAGCCAGAGAAGTAAGCTGAGTCGTGATCACAAAGGACTTTCCAGATCATTAAAGACTTTGGAATTTATACTGTAGGAGTCAGGAGAAAGCCATTAAGGAATTTTAAACAGGAGGGGTGATATAATCACACTTATTTTGGAACATACCCAAGGCAGCAAGGTGGAAGATGGAGTGATGATCAGTTAGGAGCCTATTGTAGTAATCCAGGTAAGAAGTGTTAAGGACTTGCTCTACAGCCTTAGAGGCGGTAGTAGCACAGAAGAGAAAACAATGAGAGAGAGATACCAAGAGTAGAGTCTGCACTTTCATTTCTTATAGTAAGGCTGAAATAGAAAACATGAATAACCTTACTCTGAGGAAAAAAATGCTAAAGAAAATGTATATTAAAAAAGTCTTTTAAAATGCATCATTGGGCTTGCAAGAGGCTAAAAATGAAGAATGTAGATGTTGGCAAGCCTGTTGGAATCTCCCCATACTGGATAGTTTTGAACCTTTTGATAGCCTCATAGGGCGCAGGAAACAAAGCTCTCTGAACCTTACCAAGGAGAGGAGTCTGAAAAGAGGCCCCTCCCCCTCATGAAGCTGATGCATTTTTTGTGTGTGTTTTGTTTGTTTTTTGAGACACAGAGTCTTGGTCTCTCTCCCTTGGGTAGAGTGCAGTGGCATCATCGTAGCTCACTGCAACCTCAAACTCCTGGGCTCATGCAGGGGTGGGGAACCTGTGGCCTTAAGGACACATGTGGCCTTCTAGGTCCTTAAGTGTGGCCTTTTGACTGAATTCAAATTTTACAGAACAAATTCTTTTATCAAAAGGGGTACAGCAGAGAAAGATGCAGCTTTTCTTGCCTCGTTTCGTGCTTAAAAAAGAACAATCTTGAAATTAGAAGGCCACAGATTCCCCACCCATGCTTGGCATGCGACATGCCTAGCTAATTTTTCTAATTTTTAGTAGAGATGGGGTCTTGAACTCCTGAGCTCAAGCAGTCCTCCCATCTTGCCTCCCAGAGTGCTAGGATTAAAGTGTGAGCCATCACGCCCTGCTGGAACTGAGACTTTGATGTTTCCACTTTGACACGGGGAAATGAGGGGAGTATGAACATGGATATCTTCACTGAGAGTTTATAACAAGGATTCTTTCAGGGTCACATTTCCCATGTGGTCTTGAAAAACTTTAAAGTCAAGATTGTATTTAAGGTGGTCTCTGGAAATGCCTTGCAAAATCTGTCAAATCAGATCCTCTTAGGAGGAATGTACCTTCAACCCAGACTTCAAAAATCCCTACAGATTAAAATTCCAAGGCACACAAGATCACAGTCAAAAAATCACAAAATTGGACAAAAACCATGGCACAATGAGCAAGATACAGAAGAAACAGGAGACAGTAACCCATAGAGACTGCAGAAAATTTATATTTTGTCTTAGTAATTTCAGTAAGTTTGATTATTTGTTTTCCAATAAGTTTGATTAATATGTTTGAAGAAATGAGAGATTGAAATGGGAATATGAATTAAGGGTCTCTAAAACATGACCAAGCGAATAAGGAAATAAACAAAAAGAGAATTTCTAGTTACAAAAATTAACTGAAATTAAAAGTTAAGTGAACAGGTAAAGAAACAGATTGGCACAGCTAAAGAGAGAATATGTGAACTGGAAGATAGTATTGAAGGATATTACCTAGAATGCAACATAAATAAAGAAGTGATAAACATATGAAAGAAAGTTGAAGCATAAATGTTAGAGTGAAGAGTTCTAACATACATCTAATTGTAGTTCCAGTAGGAAGTATGAATGGAAGGGTGAGGCAGTGGTCAAATAGAAATGGCTGAGAATTTTTCAGAATTGATAAGAAATAATCCTCAAATGGTAGAAATCTAGTGAATACCAAGGAAGATAAATAAAATCAACCCTGACAAATCAGAGTGAAACTGCAGAAGGCTAAAAGACTGAGAAGATCTTAAAAGCAACTAGAGAGAAACAACAGATTGCTATTAAAACATTTTACTTTAGTCTGGCAACCGATTTCCCAGTAGCAACAACAGAAGCCAGAGGACATTGGAATGATGTCTTCAGTATACTGAGAGAAAACAGCTGTCAGCCTTGAAATGGCATATCCAGTAAAACTGTTAGGAATGACAGCAAAATAAAGACATTTTCAGACAAAAACTTAGAAGAGCATTTACAACAGGAGATTCTAAGGGACATAATTCAGATAGAAGAAAAATCATCCCAAATAGAAAGTCCAAGATGCTTCTTAGTGGCCACGAAATGTTCTATCAAATAGATGTTGCAGTTTGCATTCTATTATTAGACATTTATGTTGTTTTCAATTTTTCACTATTAACTGAAGCTATGCTGCATGTGTATGTGAATATGTTTATGCACCTAGTATTTTATGTAGTTTTTTTCCCTTTTGACTAGAAGCCCAAATTACTGAGTCAGAAAAAGAATGAATACTTTTATTTTTTGAATACATGTTGTGAAATTGTTTTCTTAAAGGACTTTACCAATTTACATTTCATTTAACAGACTATGCTGTCTTTATTGTATTTACAAATAAGTAAGTCTATTCCAGAGCCAATTTTAAGTGATGATTGACATTTCTTACCAGATTTTGACTTAGTTATGTCTTAGACAAAAATATCCCATCTCACTTCTTTGCCATTGGTATTAAAAATGCTTTCTCTTTAAGAGAAACAGAAATACTAACTGAAATGTGTTTTTTCTAACAGAAAGCATGTCTAACTTTGTAGAATGTAGTCTTTTTTTAAAAATCTTTTTTCAGTTTATTAACATATATACTTGGGCCATTTAAAGAAAAGGCAAAAAAAGACAAAGAAATGGCGTATAGATGCATTACTTAGTTTTTGTTTTATTATGTGAAGGAAGATTACTATTTTATTGCTGCTACATTCTTTTCTAGCTCTGTATATTTCACACCAGCCAGCCAACAGTGTAGAAGTAAATAAATGGGTTTAAGAAAAAATAATGGTCATTCATTCTAAAAGGGAAAAAGTACTATAAATTTACTTGGCAATACTGTATTCTAATAGGAGCTGAATGTAAGAAGGAGTCTCTTTTTTTCTTTTTTCTATTTCAGGTGCGAGTGAAAGTGTAGGAAAACATATGCTTGAAGCCTGCAACAATAATCTGGAGATGGCAGTCACTATGTTTTTGGATGGTGGAGGAATTGCTGAAGAGCCCAGTACCAGTTCAGCAAGTGTCTCTGCTGTCAGACCACACACAGAGTATGAATTTATTACATATTGCCTAAATTGAGTAGCGTTTTTACCAAAGCTAGGTCAGTTCTTTAGTTTTGGAACAAATTAAAGAATAAAAGCCTCTGAAAAAGTATCAAGTGGAAATTTTTGTACTTAGATAGTTTAAATTCTTAGAGCACTGTCATGTCTATGTCAAATGAGACTTTAATACTAATAGCTTTTTATAAACTCATTGTTCACAACATGAGATACTAAACTAGAGGACTCCTGTAATAGACAAAAGACCAGGATTGTATTTTTACTAAATTAGAGATAAATTTAAAAAGCCAGATAGCATATAGGCATAATTGCCTTTTTTGTTGTTCTAGGTTCTAGAATAATATTGTTTCCAAATGAAGTGTGAACTTTAGAAATCATTATTAATGTCTTATGAAGTTTTTTTTTTCCTTTCTGTGCTGTCTTGCTCTGTTGTCCCAGCTAGAGTGCAGTGATGTCTTCATGGCTTATTGCAACCTCAAAATGCTGCTGGGGTCAAGTGGTTCTCCTGCCCCAGTATCCTGAGTTGGCTGGTCTTACGAAGTTTTTTTTTCTGTTAATGTTGAATATTTATTTCAAGTGTGATATCCCATTCTTCCCCAACATAGCTCACATTAAAAAATTTTTTTCTTGCTGATTTGGCTTATACTTTAAAAAGAGGGATTTTTTTTGTTTTTGTTTTTTTTGTAGAGACAGGGTCTTGCTATATTGCTCAGGCTGGTCACAAACTCCTGGCCTCAAGCGATCCTTCCACCTTGTCCTCCCAAAGTGCTGAGATTACAGTTGTGAGCCACTGACAACTAGCTACTTTTTCTGTTCTGCATGTTAGGATCTATATAGTAAATAATCTACAATTATGCCTATGTTAGCTTTCTTCATAATTCGATAAAGTTCACTGCCTATTTGTTTAAGCTTATTTTAGTATATTCTTGCGATTCAATTATCTATTCTTTGATGTAGTGATGTGATATTGCTTCTGTTACGCCTATATTTTTCCATTCTTTTTGCCTGATTTTGGGGGGAATTTTTTCTGTCCTCTTTTTTTTTTTTTTTTCTAAACAGAATTTAGGGTAGGAAACTTGAGAGGGAAAGGGAAGTATTTTTTGTTTTTCTGTTTTATCTCTTCATTTATAAACCATTTCAGCTAGACATGCCAGGTACTTTATTCTAGTTGATCTTTATATGAAAACCATCTAAAACTCATTTATCATGGTTACTGTGGCTGCTAAAAGTCACTAAGTTATTTTCCTTGTTAATTTGAATGCATTCATAGTTATTACAGAAAGAAAACACGTAGCAGAAAACAGTATTCATTTTGATATATTTCCACTTTTCTTAAATAGAGAAGAAGTCCGTGCCCCAATTCCTCAAAAGCAAGAAATATTGGTGGAACCAGAACCTTTGTTTGGTGGTAAGTTTATTTATTCTCCTTAGCTTTATTTGACTTTGTTGTTATCTTTAGGATTTTAATGAAACTATTAAATGATGTGAAGGCTTGCTGAGAGATTGTTACTTCAAGTATAGAGTCAGTTTTTATCTTGTGTTTCTGAACTCTTCTCAGGAAAGTTGCACAATTAGTTCATAGTGAAGCAGATTAAAAAATTGATACTTGTTGCAGAAGGTGAAAAGGAGGAAAATTACCAAAAAGAATTGCTACTTTGTAATGGAAACAAACCTATCATTAGATAAAAGACTGATTATTTTTTGTTTTCAGGATACCTACATGACTGCCATATCCTTACTATCTTGATTTGCCTTACCTTCTCTCTCTTCTTAGCCTCTAGAAGTGCTATTCCTATTTCAAACAAAGAAGAGTATAACCCCTAATTCATGCAAAAAATCACACTGTTTAAGTCTGGGTAAAGATTGATGATAGAGAATGGGACATTTAATCAGATTTAAAGAAAGTTTATAGTTAGTTTAATAAGCATATTAAACCAATAATGGAACCAAATTGGAATAACCAAATAAAGTTATTTGGTTCCCTTTTATGAACCAAATAGTTTAGGCATTAGTGGGTTTATTTATTTATTCATTTTTTTCTTTTTTTTTTCCTCCCACCCCACAACCGGGTTTATTTTTTAAAAAATAGAAGATGGAGTTATAATCTGGTTGGGCAGAGATGGAGAAATGTATATATATATTGGGAACAGTAATGTAGAAAAATAGTTTATTTTCAAAGTTGAGAACAGACCTTTATAAAGTTTTATAGGTAAACCATTATAGAGGAGGAAAAATAAGTTGTAAGAAAAGGATAAAGAAAATTGCATAAACTGCATCTTTTGGTTTGAAAAAGCAACTTATTTGAGAGTTTTTGTAAGGTAGACTTGGCAACTTTGGCCTTGGGTCCCTGATACTCTTTCAGGGGGTCTGTAACTTCAAAACTATTTACATAATAATACTAAGAAGTTATTTGCCTTTTTCACTGTGGTGACATTTGGACTAATGGTTCAGAAGCAATGGTGAGTCAAACTGCTGGCATCTTAGTTGAATCAATGTAGTGACTTCAAACCATAGCACTAGTAGTTGAATTCTTTACTGCCACATATTCTCAGTTTACTTTTCTTTTCCCTTCTTTAAATAGACCGTTGCTCTGTTTCCTGGGCTAGAGGACAGTGGCTTCATCATAGCTCACTGCAACCTCAGATTGCTGGGCTCAAGCAATCCTCCTGCCTCAGCCTCCCAAGTAGCTGGGACTACAGGTGTGCGCCACCATGCCCGACTAATTTTTTTATTTTTTGTGGAGACAGGGGTCTTGCCCTGTTGCCCAAGGTGGTCTTGAACTCCTGGCCTCAAGCGAATCCTCCTGCCTTGGCCTCCCAAAGTGCTAGGATTACAGGTGTGAGCCACTGAGCCCAGCTTTGCAGTTTATAAAAAAGATTAAAAGTCAGTTTTCTTTCATAATGTTTTATGAAGCAATAGAAATGATTAACTTCATTAAATCTTGACCCTTGAGTATACATTTTAAAAGTATTCTGTTTGAAATAGGATATATGCATAAAACACTTCTGCATACTGAAGTTCTATGGTTATGTTAAGGAAAAGCACTCGATTTGCGAGCTGAACTGGCAGCTTTTTTCCTAGAACATTCTTTTTACTTGAAAGATTACCGACAAACTGTTATTTAGACTTGGGCATTTGGCAGATACTGTCTTGAAAATGAACAAAGTGAGCCTGTTGCTTTTAGACAACTGACTGTATTTGTTACCAGTGCTTGACTGAATGATCGATCAGTTGATTTTCTTTTTCTTTTCTTTTTTTTTTTTTTGAGACGGAGTCTCGCTCTGTTGCCCGGGCTACAGTGCTGTGGCGTCAGCCTAGCTCACAGCAACCTCAAACTCCAGGGCTCAAGCAATCCTTCTGCCTCAGCCTCCCGAGTAGCTGGGACTACAGGCATGCGCCACCATGCCCGGCTAATTTTTTCTATATATATATTTTTAGTTGTCCAGATCATTTCTTTCTGTTTTTAGTAGAGTTGGGGTCTCGCTCTTGCTCAGGCTGGTTTCGAACTCCTGAGCTCAAACAATCCTCCCGCCTAGGCCTCCCAGCATGCTAGGATTACAGGCGTGAGCCACCTTGCCTGGCCCAGAAGATTTTTTATATTGTATAATGTGCCTCAGCCTCTCAAGTTGCCAGGACTATAGGCATCCACAACCACTCCTGGCTAATTTTTTTAAAAATGTATTTTGTAAAGGCAGGGTCTTGCCAAGTTGCCCAGGTGGCATAACATTTTTATTATTACATTATAGACCTTATCATCCGTAAAATATTTAAAGATTGGGTAACAGTGACACTATACAGGGAAAGCAAAAGATCTTGATTGTAGTCACTTTTTTGTCAGTAAACCATCATGTAACAATAGAAAAAAGTTTTCTTCCAACATTAAAAATGTTTTTTGGTATTTATAATTCTCTATGTGTGTCCACTCACTAAGAAATAGTCCTTAAATTTTACGGTTTAGAACTTAAGAGTTACTCAAATGTGATACCAAAGAGTGATTGGATCCCTTGGGCTAACCTGAATTGGATATTTGCAGAATGTGTGTAGCTTTATCTCTATGTGGATTCATCCTCATAATTTTCTTTCTTCCTGATGCCACCGCTTAGAGTCTGTCTTTTTACACAAGTTTGGTCAAGCCTCTTAACTGGGCCTTAATTTTCTCATTTGTAGAACAAGATGGTTGGGCTGAAGATGGTTTTTGTTAATTGTATAGCAATGACTTGCAAGTTTTAAAAATTTATTTTTTGAGTAAAGGAACCATAATGAATCTATGAATATTTTTAAAGAGAAATAATTATAGATAAAGACATTTTTAGAATTAAATTTCAGAATTAACATTCAAATTTTATTTTTAATGTTCAATTTTATTTTTTTCTCCCCTAAAGCTCCTAAAAGACGACGGCCTGCACGTTCAATATTTGATGGTTTCCGAGACTTTCAAACTGAAACTAGTAGGTATCTGTGGACCAGTTGTTTATCATCTCCCTCATCTCCCTCCCTATAAAAAGAAGAGGGTGATTAATTAGGCCTAATTATGTGGAGGATTTACCTTATTTAAAAAATGAAGTTACTAATTCAGTCTATTTGTGATTAACTCCTTCCTGAACTGAATTGTTCCAAATTCTAATCTACTTGGTTATAGAAGAATGATAAGGGATATGGAGATCATGTTTACTATAATTAATAAAAAAAACTGATGTCCCTCGGGATCCTGATATCTCTCATGAAAGGAATGACTATAATGAAATTGTTATTGTAAGAGATTGAAAAATTGAAGAAAAAGCCACACCACCCAAAGTAGCCACTGTTAACATTTTGGCTACAGTTGTTTGGAATAGGTTTATATCTTTGGTGTAGTAAGTTAGAATAAGCATCTTGGCCATATACTTTTAGAGGATTTACTATTGATTTAGCAATGGAATCCTAAAGAAATAACAGTTATGTTAAGAGAATATATGAGAAACTCTTAGACCATACTTGATTTTATTTATTTATTTTTTTTGAGACGATGTCTCACTTTGTCACTTGGGCTAGAGTATAGTGACACTATCATGGCTCACTGTAGCCTCACATTCCTGGGCTCAAGTGATCCTCTCACTTCAGCCTCCCAAGTAGCTAGGACTAGGGGTGTGCGCCTCCATGCCTGGCTAATTTTTAAATTTGTTGTAGATATGGGGTCTCACCACATTGCCCAGGTGGGTCTTGAACTCCTGGCCTCCAGTGATCCTCCCACCTGGGCCTCCCAAAGTGCTAGGATTACAGGTGTGAGCCACCTCACCTGGCCTCATGCTTGATTTTATAATTGATTTATAATGAGTTAATTGAGGCACAGATAGGTCTTGTAATGTTGGCAAGAATTGAAGGGGAACCTAACCTGACTGATGTCATCTAGAGAATCCTTTGCTCTTCCAGCAGATGGTGGCAGCAGGGATCATCATCTCTATTGCCAGAATCGTTAACGATTGAGAATGTAGATAAAAATAGCAGATGAATTAAGATCACTTTCAGAACTAGGTAAATGGGGATAAAAGTTTTCTGCTATGTGGAAGTTAGTTTTTGAATATGTGAAGGAAATTATTTTGATTAGGTGACTATTTTTAATTAATTTAATTTTTGCATTTATTCTTTGATAGGGAACACCGCCAAGTCTTTTTTTTTTTTTTTTTT